GCCTGAGTGGCGGAGCTGACTGCTGGGCTCGGCTGAAGATGCTGGGAAAACGGCCACCCATGTTGCTGGTAGTGGTGGTTGAGATGATATGAGGAGGAAAGGAGTCTAAGACGTTACTGCCGGGTGGCTAAAAAGGTCATACTTCTAGTATGAGTTATTGTGATAGGGATATTCGACTGCTGTTTGCTCCCTGTAAATGAGATGGCCTGTGTCCAAAGGTTGAGGTCGTATTATCGGCAAAGAGGACATTAGAAGGTCTCAGGAACCGGGAGGACTAGTTCCAAGCTGCCGTTCCGAGACTCTGTATTGTCGGAATATTCAAACCCAGACGGAAAGCAGGGAATGTCCGTCGTTTCGTGGTGGGTGTATCTAGGAGGTATGTGCCTGACAGTTATGTTTTGAAAAGAAGCGAACAGGGACCAGCCAACCCCCAAGATGAACCTAACGAAATCAAATCGGATATCTTCCTTTTCGTCCAAACCGTGATCACTTAAGGGAAGGAAGATGGTGAGAATGCAAAGCCTACAGCCAATAGATCCAACTCCAGAGCTGGGATGCAAGACACGAACACAAACAGTAAAGCAAGGGAAACCAGCACCTGGGTGGCCTAGAAGGAAAACAGAGCTCCAAAAGTACCTCTAAGCAGAAAAAAGAAACCAAATGTCAAAAGAAGGGAAGAAGATAGAGTGACCAGTGCATGTCCATCCTTCCAGGCTAGAGGTTGAAGGAGCCGAACGGTTGGACCAGATGGCCTCCAGGGACCGAAACAGGGGTGCTTGAAATGGCTTCAAGGGGTAACCTTATTTACCTGGACCACTGGCCGGCGACCTTTCCCCAGATCTGTTCGCTTACCCTGCTGCACGTATCCATAGACGTGTTTGAGCCTCATGAGGGTTTGAGCCACGCGTGCCATCCCTCCCTGGCTTCACAATCCCAATCCTACCGTATCTACACAAATGATTGAGTGCCTACCCTGTAGTAGGGAGGGAGGTATTGTGCATTCAAGGGACCATGATGGGTCGAGAGTTGCCAGCCGTCCCACTCACAACGCACTATAGCGAATGCCTCAAGAGAATGTAGCAAGTCCTCAAGCACGAAATCTGACAGTTGAACACTCTGTATCACGGAGTTCGGTTCGTTTGTCCCCAGTGAAATTATGGAAGATGTTCGAGACAGGAAACAGGGGCATGTTTCGGGTGGGGGTCGGCGCAGGGTCTCGTAGCCAATAAAACTGGTTCGCGCTGTTCTCCATGATGCGTGAGATGGGAGTGGGAACCCGGTCAGGGAGAGCAGCTTTGGCGTCAAGGAGACCCGAGAATCGATGGCAAATACCCTAGACCTCTGCCCTTTGGAAGGTAATTCTGGTTTCAAGCTAGATCTGATCCGAAGAACTGACACCCATACCTTACTACCTACGAACTGGAACTTCTTGCTCCACGAAAGTCGAATCGTCAGAGGTCAAGAAAGCTTGCGATTCATCCATACCAAAAGTAAGTGGTACGTGGGTAGGTTGACTGCTGGTACCGGTATAAGCTCACGTGGGATTCTTGACTGGTTCCTGGCCAAGTCAAGCAAGCCAACTCCCTTGCCAATGTTCCTCTTTCCCTAGGCTTTGGTGACCCATTTTACCATCGTGACTTCAAGTCTTTCTAGCCAGGGTAGTCGAATTGTTCCCTTCGTCATGCATCGAAGATTACTCTGACAATTGGTATTTCCACCTAATCCTCTGGTGGAACTGTGCCGCTTCGGCATGACAGTATCCAAACGATACTCTTAGCCCTCATTGGCGCGGCACGCTCCGCGGTATGCTCTTTTATGTCTCGCCATAGTTCGTCAGGAATCACTTCAACTCTCCAAGAAGCATTCTGCGATCCGACGAAGCAGAGAGTACTAGAAACCTGTTAGCATCTGCGACCCACATAGATCAACCAGACGGGATTAAACATACTGAGTGGATCTGTGCCTGTACCAAACTCGGCACAGTTCACCGTGCCCTTGTGTCCCGGCAGCTTATACAGAAGCTTACCGGTGTCACTTCCCCAGATAACGACAGTGCCATCTCCAGCTCCAACTCCAATCTTCTTGCCTTCTCGGTCCCAGCTACCTTTGATCAAGTTTTGTTCCATGCCACATGGCGCACCGTCGAATGTCCGGATATGTCTCTCAGCCGGCGCGAACGGCCTGATATCCCACGTCCTTGCCGTCGAGTCCATCGCGTATGACAAAAGTTGTTGTGAGTCCGGCGAGACACGCAGACTTGTGATCGTATCGTTGTGTCCCAACATCTTGTAGACAACCTGCTTTTTCCGGACGTCCCACACCTTGATGTCGTTGTCGATGCCGCCTGTGTAGATTTCGTTACCAGCTTCTGATATAGCCACGGCTGTTATAGGGAAGTCCGTCGCAATGTAGTCGGCCGCATTCTTCGTGCGAGGATCCCAAATGCCTATGGTGCCGTCGTCACTACCGCTGAAGAGAAGCTCCTCGCCGCGTTTGCTGATGTCCAGAGAGTTGACGATCTCCTCGTGTCCCACGTATCGACGTATGCGCTGCCCTGAAGTCAGGTCCCAGCTTGCAAGGTGCATGTCTGCCGAGGCTGAGAAGAGAATCTCCGAGTCGCGGGACCATTGCAAGTCCAGGACGGCACCCTTGTGACCAGTGAGCAGTCCGTAGTTTTCGCAGTCGCCATACGTCCTCCACAACATGATATTCCTGTCGAAAGACCCTGACGCGATCATGTTCCCTGTAGGATCGAACTTCGCAGCAAAAATCTCGCCCGTGTGGCCCGTTAGCTCCATTACCGGAGCATTGAGCCCGCTCGTCCTCGGTTCCTGTACACTGGTCAGAGGTCCTGAATAGCAATCTGTCGAATTCATGTACGCACAGCTTGTATAAGCGCGCCATTGCCTCCAGCACCGTTTCTGGTGGCCAGGGCGCGACTTGAACCCAGGTTTGGTCTCTTGACAAGCTGGCCGCCAATCGGCTCGTCTGCTGGTCTCTTCTCGCCTGAAGACATATTGTATGCTGAAGGGAGGGCGTGGAAATTACAAGGTAAAAATGGTAGGTTTAGGACTATTGTGGTGTCACTGGTGTGTTGCCGTTAGCAAAGATGCGCTGTTCCTCTTTACACATGAGGCTCACGTTGCTGCTGGCTTGGTACGAAAGGCTCCAGTAAAAATAAAGTTTCCGCGCGCCTGATTCGTCCGAGCTCCTGATGACATGGATGGCAGCCAAACACAATGATGGAGTTTGGGACCCTCCATCGCGGAAGTGTCCCCGTTAATTGATTGACCTGCGCTATCCCTAATCGTTGCAACAGCACCGGCAGGGACCGGCCAGTAACCATATTGGTCATTTCTTCAACAACCTGCTGCTGGTTACATGGGATCGCTTTGTCCACCAGGAGCTTTGAGCAAGCGTCCGCCGTGACATTTTAGCCCAGCATGGCAGCCAACAAGGCTTCCCGCCTCGGAGAAGAGTACAGCTTTCCCGTCTTGATTTTGTTCTGAAGGTAGCAGCTAACACCGATTCTACAGGATCTGGAAGTAAGAACTGATCGCTCCTTGTGACAAACGTTGGGGATCCCTTGGCTAATTCAAGCTGCCAAAGGACACGGATCGACAAGGTCAACGCCGAGCTCGTAACCCTCACATACGGCACTATTGTCGCTCAGCTATGCAAGGACTTTGACAATGACTACGTCGAAGTGAACAAGCAGCTTGATAAGATGGGCTACAACATTGGCCTTCGACTGATAGAAGACTATCTGGCCAAGTCCAACTCGATGCGACGGTGTGCCAACTTCCGGGAGACGGCCGAGATGATAGCCAAGGTTAGCAACATTTGCTGTCACTGTTCCGAGATAACAAGCTGACATGCTGTCGCTAGGTCGGGTTCAAGATCTTTCTGAATATCACGCCGGTAATAACAAATTGGACGACCGACTCGAAGCAATTCTCGCTTGTTTTCGAAGAAAACCCCCTGGCCGACTTTGTGGAGCTGCCAGACGATGGCCGAGCACAGGATGAGCTTTGGTATAGCAATATCTTCTGCGGAATTCTCCGAGGCGCACTGGAGATGGTTCAGATGCAGGTTGAAGCGCACTTCATTTGCGATGTGCTAAGGGGAAACGATACCACTGAGATGAGGGTCAGTCTAATACGATATATTGACGACGAGATGCCACCCGAGGACGACTGAAGAGAAGAAGCAAGACCTGACTGGGCTCGGGACTTGCTCAAGGGTCTCTTCTTGACGCCCTTGCAGCACTCTCGAAGGCAAAATGGAGGAACAATTGCATGCATGATCATATAAGGGCTCTTCAACCGCGATGCCTTTCACACGAACCGGTGCCTATAACCGTAGCGGCCACTTGAGGCATTCTCCACCCTCCGTCAACCTCGAATGACCTGTAGTCTGTCTTCCTGTCCTCCCTTGGTCATGCTGTTGATCATATAGCGGACACTCCACCACGGGCGGCTTCACACTTTGCCTGGAGCCTAGTGCGAGCATGTGGTCAGTTAATTTATATTCGTTCATGGCTATGGTACCGATGTCTCGATCAATTTTTGTGCAGTGCTTCGAGGACTGTGCACGACCCTACCTAGAAGGTCCATACCCAGGTTGCCTCGTGCATCGGCCAGCAGGTTGCTTGTCAAAAGACAACGTTAGGAACTTGGGTCAGTGCTTGTCACTTAATTGCTGGTATCTCTTGGAAGAGTAACTGTGGCTTGGTCAAATCTGAGGTGATCGTCCCCCAGATGCTGTTCTCAATGACCCAAGCTTTTCCTGGAAGATGGCCAACGCTAGACGCGAAGTGAGGGTGGAGGGAGAGGAAGCTAGGTAGATAGGTACGAAGGCACCGCAAAACGTTGGGCAGTTCCGACCTTAGGCGTTATTTCAAAGAACTGCAGTGAACAATTGCATTTGATGCTGACAGGTACAAAATACCAGAATACCAGCATGTGAGATGTCATGACGGCTAACAAAAACAAAAGATGTGCGACGACCGAGACTCGAACTCGGACCCTGCGCAGGTCTTAAGAAGATGGGAAGCGCAGATGATAGCCCTTTCACCATCGTCGCTTGCTATCAAGTTTGAGGCACAATGTTTTGTGATCGCTTACGTAGTGTCATTCTTTATCGACTTACATATCCGCACCTGGTCCAGGTACACCTAGCTAAACATGGAACCTACTTCTATATTTGACCCAGCAGTTGGGTGTGGCGCTCCCTTCTTCCCACAGGGGGACCTGCGTCGGGATGCGGCTTCTGCAGGGTATCGGCTCAAATGCCTCCCGGCATCTGTCGATCGCACATCCAATCGGGTCTTCTAACTGATACTGGACACAAAAGACCAGTAAGAACTCGCTGATCGCGGTCCAAAATGTCAGTCACGGGTATCGCACATCACACTCTGGTCCAGGAGCAAGCCGTCAACATCTAGGCAGGGACAGGCAACCCGCGTCACGTCGACTACGGTCTGGACTTACAATGCAGTCACGTTGCAGCCACGCCGGCTTCACGGCTGCTGTGTTGGCCGATTCTGGCCACATCAGAACCAGGTGTATCGGTCTAAGATTGCCTCGCCGCGGGCACTCGAACTAGATGCTCCGTCTTGCGGCAGGCTAGCACTGGCTGTGCGGTTGGCCCGGCAAAAATGGTGGCGTAAGCACGGCGCGATCCTGTGTCTTTCGAACCAAGCTGATGCTATTGTGTAAGTCGGGTTTGTTTTTTTACTGCTGAGCGCATGCGCGGCGAAGGAGAGCTCAATACAGTACGGGGCATCACGTTACGATATGGCACCAGTCCTGTTGGACAGGATCGATCACATCGAAGAGGTCTGTGGAGGTCCTCAGCAACTGAGCAAGGGCTGCGGTCGACATGCTGTGGCGTGAGGTCATTCCTCCAGCTCAAGCGCCCAGATGCAAGCCCTACAACAGCCCCGAAATGATAGTACTCTTAGTTGCGGAAGCTGACGATCGCCCTTGCGAGAAACAGACGTGACTGGTTGGATAAGGTGCACGCCAGCGGCTGGACACCCTGTGTTACCCTGAAATGCAGCCGTGAAGGTGAAGTGATGCCTGTTCCCAGGTTCCTAGCCTTGTGTGGCCGCCGTCAGCTATCAAGGACGCTTCTTACACACCGGCGAAGCTTTTAATATATGAACACGCCTCTAAATCCGGTGCTCCGGGCGTCCATATCGTTTTACTTTGTTTCAAAGAAGACTAAGTAGGGCACCGGGCTCATCAATCTCCTTTGTCGCAAATGGCCACCTCCGACGAGTCTCCTTGTTGGCTGGGGCCGCCCTACAATCAACTGAATCTCACCAATTGCACCGCTGCCGCATACTGGCTCGCCACTTACTTGGACCAGCGCTACTACAACACGGAACTCCACGATGCACCAATTGCGGCCATTTATGAATACTTGTCGTCCGTCATCCCAGATAACTTTTCGAAGCCGAGATTTGGCGACATAATCGTATGGTACTACAACATGGACAATTCGACTTGGGCTGGGTTATTTGACTTTCCCATATATGATTGTCCCGATGTACTATGCAAACATTTACGGTGGGAAGGTGACCCAGATCTTGCCGGAATAGGTGTAAGTGATGCAACATCATGGCGAAGATTGCTAGCTCGGCTGCTCATCTGCGCTCCTATGTTCAGGTCATGGCCGTCTACTATCTAGCAGCTGCCTTGTCTACAGCCTACTTTGTCATATTGGCCCTTGACACGGTGCAGCCCTGGTCAAGGCCCTCGGGAGCGCGAAATGCCTGGCAGAGTCTTGTTCGCGTGGTCAGGGAGTCCCTCAACAGTTTCATCGACGCGGCCCTACTCTAGTACTCTTCGCCATCGCCATGCTGATTGCAGCGACCTACCGCTACGGGTCGTCTCGGCGTCACCCCGATAAGACGCACTCTCTCTACGGGTTGGTTTGCGCGACCTATATGGGCATCTTCTCCATTTTCCCCCCGCTGTTGCTGCAGACGGTTGCGGCAGATCTGCGCAGACGGCGGATTCGGTTGACTCTTTGGCTAGTGGTCATTACTTTTGGACTTACTGTCGCCGGGCTCGACCTGAACCTCAGGACGAGCAAGGCCCAGTTAGAGAAGCTGATGAACAGAGACTCTGCATCGGTGGATAATGTGTGGGAATATGACTGCGAACCGCAGCACTTAAGAGATGCCTTGGAGGATACCCTGAACCTTGCGGAGGTAATCCTACTACTCAGTATCTCCTGGTGGATTTACCACGCGGTACCGTCTCGCCTGTGGGATAGGCTATGCAGCACCTTTGGAATGCAGGACCACCTTTGGAAGATATGGCCTGGCGTGAGTCATTGGATCCTGGTGATATACCAGATCATATGCTGCGTCGCGATGTGGGCTTCGCTCGGCCTCTTCACCCGCTATAGGTTCAGAGTCCAGGCTACCATGGGAAGCAGCTACAAGGACAGCCAATGGAGCTTCGGACAAGTGCTTGCACTAACCACCTGGGTGCCGTTGGTTGTAGACCTCGTTACCATATATCTATGTAAGTCTTAAACGTGACGACGGACATTCCGCCACAAGTACTAACTGCGGACTGAATAGATGGTCCGGAGGATGCTTTACAAGGCAAGATGTCGGAGCACTATAGCGTGGTCGAGTCTACCTCGGCTGACGAGAGTAGGACGGCACTGGTACAGTCACCCCAGCCACAGGGGCGCTATTCCAAACCTCGCGGGTTTCTCACGCAAGCCAGAGTCCGTCTGGAGGACACGGAGACGAAGAGATGCGAAGATTGTGAACTCTACACGGATGCTGTCTTGCTGCGATTCTTGGAGCAGAGAGAAAGGGTGATGTTTTTTCTGCAGTCGAGCTTTGCGTGCCAATATCAGTCGAAAAGCTAGCCGGCCAGTTTGGTGCTATTGCTTCTCCATGCCCGCCCAGTCAGAAAGGTCAGAAAACAAGTAGACAAATCAAACTCACTGGCAGCATGCTATAAGGTTGCGGGCTTGGCGCTTACTCTGTTCAAAACTTCGCTCTGAACCTCAAATTGTGTCCTTTCTTGGTCCGGCCACGCAAAAGGAAGGGATAGAGTACGTGATTGCGTAGCATAAAGATGGAAATTGGTCCTTTTGAAGGACCGGTAACTCGGATACGGGGAGTCGAACCCCGGGCTGATGAGTGAGAGTCATCGATGTTACCGCTACACCATACCCGACGACAATTACTGCTGCAGAAATGGTTCTGTTTTATAAAGCTACATCAAATTGAGCTAAACCAAGTTAAGCTGGGCAGTTCGGGGGTGTTCTTATGGGCATCGTCAACATCACTCCTGCACAAGAGCAGTGGCACAGGAAATGCGTGTACAAGTACTAGGCTGCCAATAGACATATCCATTCTCTTTGGAAACTGTCACAGCATTACATCCGACAGTTCTTGTACTTTGTTTTGCAAGAGCGTTTACTTAATCAAGAAGAGGGATAGACCTCTTGTGCGTTTTGCTGCAGGCGCCGGTGGCGTTCTTGAGAGCCGCAAGGACACCATAGTAGGCCGGATGCTTGGTGAAGTTGGCATACCACAGCAACGGCAGACCTTGGCCGGCGAAGGTAGCAGGCACCCAGCTAAAAGGATCGTAAAAATCCCAAATCGTGACGCCGATGCATCCCTTGACTTGAGCGCAGGCTCCGACGATCTGATCAGACAGGTTAGCTGATGACCCACAGCAGGTAAATGGGTTCTTTGTAGGTTGAAACATACATTCTTGTAGCCCTGAGACTGCTTGGCCAGTAGAGCAGGGGTGGCAGGGAGAGTAAGCCTGACATCCAGCTCGGTCAGGGCGACCTCGACACCGAGACGTGTGAAGGTGCTGATGGCGTCGATGTGCTGATCAATGGTAGGGTGGCCCTCGGCTGTCAAGTGTGACTGGAGACCAACACCGTCGATATGGATACCGGCGTTCTGAAGCATGCTTACGATGCGGGCGGCACCAGAAACCTTGGCACCGGGGTACTCGAGGTTGTAGTCGTTGTAGTACAGCTTAGCGTTGGGGTCGGTCTCGTGAGCCACTTGGAAGGCGTACTTGATGAAGTCCTCGCCGAGGGTGTCGTAAAACACCGACGAGCGGTAGGTTCCGTCCTCGTTCAGTGCCTCATTGACAACGTCCCAGGCGTAGCAACGCCCCTTCCAATGGCCCATGACGTTGGTGATGTGGTCATGGATGATGGTTTTCAGCTCGTCTTTGGTCCAATTCGTGGCCGTGACCCAGGGAGCCAGCTGGCTGTGCCAGACAAGCGCGTGACAACGTAGAACGTAGCGCTCGGCATTTGCTCGGGAGGCCACGATCTCACCCTCGGTGAAGTTGTAGACACCACGCTGAGGCTCAGTAAACAGCCACTAGAGGTAGTATCAGCTTATGATCGTCATATGGTGTCCATGGGGTCACTTTCGGAACTAACCTTCATGCCGTTGGTTGGAGTGGTCTGGTGGAACTCGCCCGACTCCCACATGATCTCGTCATACTGAGGGTAGACGGCCTCGTAGCCGGCGCGCTCACGCTGGCCAGGAGAGTCGGTGGCCGCACCAAAGTACTTGAGGCCGGCCTTCTTAGCCCACTTGTCGAGCTCGGCAGAGGCCAGGGGCAGCGCGGCCAGCAAGGCCGTGGACAGAGTTGCGACACGCATGGTGACTGGGCTGGACCTCCCTTGGTATGGAAAGAAAGCTGGTGGAGGGATGGACGACGATCAGAAGGCGGTAATCAAATCAGGGTTCCATGGCAGGGGACCAACTCGTTATTAAGCCCGGAACCCGGCGGGGAGATAGTTGCCAAGGCTATGGACCATAAATAGGCAAAACCATGCTCTCAGTAGCCATTGACATGGTTTCTCGCCTGTCCATGCAACTCCATCTCCGCGTTCCCGGAGCTACCCCAAGTTTTCCCAACCGAGAGGCGACAGGCAGGGTAAGATGCGAAGGTATGGTACGCTAAGTACACTATTGGTAGGCCGACACTGCAAGTTGCTCTGTAAGGTGGATCATGCGTGTATGCGTACACCTATGCGTATGGACCGGGAACCAGGTCTGTTGTGCCTGG